TCCCTTCCCTTCCCTTCCTTCCCTTCCTTCCCTTCCCTTCCCTTTCCTTCCCTCCCCTCCCTTCCTTTTCTTTTTTCTTTTTCTCTCTCCCTCTTTCTCCCTCTTCCCCCTAGGGGAAATCTGATTGTAGGAATAATCATTTCCTTGATTTTCTGCCATGGATCTCTAGACATAGTTTGTTTTGCCTGTTTTTGAATTTCATGCAGTATGTACCTTTCTGTGTCCCACTTCTTTCTTTTATGTTTGTTTATGAGATTGGCCACGTTGCTACATGTAGCTGTCCACTCACTGCTGGTGAGTATTCTGAGCCTCCACATTTGGGGGCTGTTGGGTAGCTTCCAGTTGGGGTTCTAACCAGCGGCACTGCCATGAACCGTCTCTCATACCTTTCCTGCTGCATCTGTGCATGACCGTGTCTAGGGCCCGCAAGCAGGAGGGGACGTGCAGGTTGTGGGGTAGGCACATACTCTGCTCTACTAAGTGATCCCGAAGTTCCCCACTGTGGTGGCCTGGTTCATCCACCCCCCGCCCCCCCGCCCCCCCGCCCCCCACAGTAGTGTGTCAGCAACCTCATTACCCGGCGTCCTCGGCAATGCTGGTGATGGGGTGGGCAGGAGTGAGCAGTCCTAATGGACAGTGTGAGGAGCATGGGGTCCCTGGGGAGAGGACCTCAGTGAGGTGCTGGGGAGCTGTCCCAAGAAGGCATTTCTTCTGCTGGCTCGTGAAGACCCAGGCCTGCAAGCTGCTTCCTCTCAGAAAGTCACAATCCCAGGCCCAGAACACCTGGCCTCCCTCTACCCAGGAGCCAAGCCTGTGGGAGAAAGGAAAACTCTAGTTCTGGCTCAGGCATCCCCCAGCAGGAATGAGCCATCATCCCTTTCCAGTGCCTCATCAGTTTCTACACCTTCAGGGTGCCCTCAGAAGGGTTTCATGAAGGAGACTGGACCGGGCACCGGGGTCTACAGGTGGGCTGTAGTGGACTCAGGATTGGGCACACAGGGGCATCATCAAAGCCAAGCCAGAGCCCAGGAGGCATTGTCGTGGGCCAGATACTGGGTGCTGTCGCAGGCTCAGGGATAGGCACAAGGAGAATCATTCCAGGGAGGGGCCTGGTGGCAGGATCCCACAGTGACGCTGGCGGGCCCTCGCCATGACCACACTGTCTCCCTCTCGGGATCCTGCTTCTGCCCCAGCTGGGTGAGCCCCCGACCCTGGGGCAATGGCCCAATCCCCGCTACCGTGAATAAACAAACCATGAGTTCTAGAATTCTCACACAGGGGAGACGCCCTGCCCCACCCCACCCCCACGTCCCTTTATGAGGACCAGGGCAGGCTGGGCACCTGCTAGCCATGGCGTGTGGGCCAGGAGATCTTCAGAGCCTCACATCTCCATTTTCCTCTGCCAGAGTTGGGACCCCACTGTATTTTGAAGGTAGGGCCTTAGGGACATGGGAGAGAGGCAGGAGGGGGCTGTTGGCCTGGGTGCTGTCCTCATGCCTAGGTTTCTCTGTATCCTGAGGGGCACATTGTCACCAGCATGGTGTGCCAGCCTAGGGACCCAGCCGGTGTCATAGCCGTTCTAGTTTGTAGGGTGGCCATGACCATGAGAGAAGAGCCTTGTTAGAAACTGGGAAACAGGGGTGCCTGGGTGGCTCAGTCGGTTAAGCATCTGCCTTCGCCTTGGGTCATGATCCCAGGGTTCTGGCATCAAGTCCTGCATCGGGCTCCCTGCTCAGCGGGGAGGCTGCTTCTCCTTCTCCCTCTGCCCCTGCTCCCCCTGCTTGGGCTCTCTCTCTCACAAATAAATAAATAAAATCTTAAAACAAAAAAAAAAGAAATTGGGGAACAAGCTAACAACCATGGACCAGATGAGCTTGTTTGGGAAGTGCAATCTAGGAGGACCAGGACTTGGGATGACAACGTGAGGCGTGAGTGACCGCTTAACGCTACCAACTTAAGGTCTCAACCCCCCTGTGAGCTGGGCTTTATGGTGTCCCCATTTCACGAGAGGAAACCAAGGCCCAGGGGACTTAAGTGACTTGTGGAGCCAGGATTCAACACCAGTTTTTAGTTGACTCTCCGGGGTGAAACATTTGGGCCGCCGTGTGACAGAAGTCCTCTTGGCTCCCTGCTCTAAGCAACCATGTGTGATCTGCTGGTGGCGGCCCTGGCTCAGGTCACCCGCCCGCTGACCGTTCTTCCACTTGGCAGGACACATGCTCGCATGGCATCTGTGAGTAGGGACATGTCCCCCAACTCAGGGACCTCGCCTTTCTTTTTCCCCTCACTGCGCGACTCTCCTTCTCAGACCAGTGCCTTGTAGAGCGAGTGAGCGAGTGAGCGAGTGTTCTCCCACTCCCACTCTAGGCTGCCCCTAGACATCGGGGACATTTTAGGATGGTGAGGATGGGCACTGCTCCACAGAGCTGACTGAGGTGCCTACGATAATGTGGGAGTGGGGGTGGCAGGCTGTGACCTTACAGAGACAGAGGTCATTGAGCCACAATAGGTCTTCCTGTCACCACAGGTGAGTGTGGGCCGCGACATCAAGGTGCGGCTTGTAAGTAGGTGTGCTGTGACTTCCGGGCTCCAAGAAGGGGTAGAGGTCGTCTGCAGTGGAGTCCGTTTGAGCCCCCGAGTGTCCCCTCTGTGTGGGATGGTGAGGCTGGGCCTCTGGCGAGGTTGATCTGTAACACCTCACGCCCCCAACCAATCCATCATGGCTCCCCCCAGATGTGGGGGGCGGGGTGCTGGCATCTCCAGGCTGAATCCTGCCATTCCTGCGTGAGGTTTCGAGGAAGGAGGTTGGAGTTGGTGTTGTTTTGGATGTGAGTTCTGGGGAGGGCAGTTCTCTGAGCCTGGGGAACCCATGAAGGGTGTGGAGCGCAGAGGCGAAGCCCACGCCTGCCCCCCAGGACTGTCACTTTTTAGGTGCTGAAGGTCATTCTAGGGAGCCCTGGTTCTGCAGGGCCCACAGCTTTGTGAGAAAGGAAAGGGCAAGCCTCTGGAACTCCTCTTCCCTCCCAGAATGGGACAGTGTCCATGGGGCAGGCTGTAATCTGAAACAACAAGGTAGCCATGACCCCACCACAGCACATGAGAGGAGCTGGAAATGTGACTCCCACTGGGGGGAGGTGGAACATAGGACGGCAAGCCATCGGACAGGGACACGAACAAGAAGGGAGCAGGGAGAGAACAAGGCAAGACAAAAGTCCATGGAGATGTGGGGGCTCGTGAGGGTGCCCGTGGACCCCTGTGGAAGGCCCTGGTTGAGGGTAAAGGTGTCCAGCCACGGAAGTCTGTGGCAAGGGAGCCGGCCATCTACATGTCATTGTACCAGGAGCCCTGGGACATGGTAGAATGGTTTGGGGGGAATTTCCATGAGGCAGGGCCCACTAGGTGCTTCTGCTAATGTATATGGACCACCATAGATTATTAGCCTTGTTCTGTTTATTAATGAACCCCTCCACCAGCATTATGGACCCTCCCTAAGCAAGGACAAGCCTTGGTTACTGCTGCTGAGTCCCTGATGCTCTGCTTGGCATGCACACGGAGGGAAACAGACTTTCTGGAACCACGCCAGCTTCCGAAGGGTGTAAACACATGTCTAGCTTTGCCTCTGTGAGGATCCATGACTGTGTGTTAACAGCTTGTTGGCCAGCCCAAACTTGACAGAAGGCCATATACATAAAAAAACCTTTTTATTTGTCTTTCATCTTGGTCTCCAACCTTTGCTGTAGAATTTCTCCCTTTCCTGTCCTCAACAATGTTCAGTTAATAAATACCAGTCCAAGATAGGCCAGTTCAAAGCCTCAGTCTCAAAACCAGTTCCGTGTAGCTCCTCCTGCTCCCACTCCTGTTGTTGGGGACAGGGAGGAGCAAGGAGGGGACCGACAAGCATCTCTACTCACTTCCTCATATGGTCACGGAGAGCACACCCTGGGGGGGGCTGTGAAGGCGGGTGCTAGAGTTGGACAACGCCACATCCCTGCACAGCTACAAGCCATCCTGCTCACTTGTGCCCCATCACCTACCCCCTGACCGGCAACTCACTCCTGGGATGAGTCTCCTCCTTTGCTACTCTAACCATCTGCCTGTGTAAACGAGCACACAGAGATAAACCCTGGGGTGGTGGTTCCTAACAAGCCCTGGAGGGGCCGGCCGGTCCCCCTTGTTTGGCGGATTGCTCTATCAGGTGGGGCACTTGCTGCCTCTGGGCCTTTGGTTGTCATTTTTAGGGCTGTATGAAATGCCCTCGCCCACCTGTGCAATGGCTGGAATGTGGCCCTCTCTGCCTCGATGGTCTGCTGTGTACGGCGCTGGGAGGGCCGCTTGAGAACCTGCTCGGGGCTGGCACAGTCCCCTTTCTACCTTTTTCCTTAGAACCTTGGTTGCGGACCTGCGGTCACACCAACATCGCCTGCAAGATGGTGAAGGGGAAGCTGGTGGAGGTAGGCAAGTGGCCATGGCAGGTGAGCATCCTGTTTCTGGGCACGTACATCTGTAGCGGCTCCCTCATCCACCATCAGTGGGTCCTCACGGCTGCGCACTGCCTGCAGAGGTCAGTCAGGGCACCCAGCCAGTCCAGGGGCTTTGCTTTCTGGCCTGGGGGCCCCCTCGGTAAATCTGGGGATCTGGGACTAGGGGCCTGGCTGGGTTACCCTGTGCTCAGTCTGTGTCTCTCCAACCACTTATGGCCTCACTGCTGGCAACCTGCCTCCTACCCGTGGCCTTGCAGATCCAAGGACCCCAAAATGTACTCCGTGAGGGTGGGAGTCCAGAGCCTCCCAGACAACGGCACCCAGCTCCTGCTCACCCGCATCGTGATTCACGAGGATTTCCACAACCTCATATCCCAGGACATTGCTCTCCTGAAGCTCAGGGACCCCATCTCCTGGTCCCCGCTCATCCAGCCTGTCTGCCTACCCAGTAACAGATTCAAGCCATCGGTCGGAACCATGTGCTGGGTGATCGGGTGGGGACATAAAAGCACTGGAGGTGAGTGAAGGCAGGCAGAGGTCCCAAGACGCTGGCCTCTTCAGAACACAACTTCAGCATGGGGTCATTGGTTTATTCCCACCTTTTTTTAAAAATTAATTAATTAATTAATCTACTTGAGAGAGAGTGAGCAGGGGCTGGGGAGGGGGGAGAGAGACAAAGGGAGAGCGAGAATCCCAAGCAAGCTCCATGCCCAGCCCGGAGCCCAACATGGGGCTTGATCCCACGACCCTCGAGATCATGACCTGAGCCAAAATCGGGAGTCAGACGCCCAACCGACGGAGCCACCCAGGTGCCTCTTATTTGTTCATTCCTTGATTCACTTGTTCGCTCCATCAACAAACATTCCTGAGGGCTCACACATGCTGCACACTATCCTGACCTCTGTTGCTAGGAAGATACACACAGTGCTCTCGTGTAAAAGATGCACATGGCTTCCATGAACCTCTGTTGCCAAAGTGAAGTTAAATCTAGTGCCAAGCTCTCACCTTGCAGCATGGCAGGCAATCAATCTTTGGCTATTAATGGGGTTCTCTGTCTGCAAGTGGCACATGGGCCACGGTCTCAGGAAGCAGTAAGGCATTGGGCTGCAATCATGCATACTTGTTAGCTCCAGGCACCAATAATTCCTGAAGATCTGGCCTCTGTGGGTGCCACCCTCGAGTCCTAGAATCTAGGAGTGTTTGTGGGATCCTGCCTTCCAGGGGGTGGCACACTTAGGGCTCTGGGGTCTTGACATCTTGCCAGGTAGCCATGGGGCAGTGAGTGCTCAGCCCCCACCCTCATGAAACCTGAATTATTGAAGGAGTCTCTCCTTGTCCTCATTCAGTGCCTAGCTGTTGCTCAGGGGGATACTCTTGCTTCAGTCTTTTGAATGAGCTTAGGTTTTTTTTTTTTTTTCCAAAAGTCAGGCTGTGGGGATGGGGTCTTTACAAATTACCATCCCAGGAAATGGCCCTGCCTCCCACCCTAGTAAATCTGGACAACTTCAAGATGGAGGCATGCCAAATGATTGAAGGGATGACGAGGCAGGATCTCTCTCTCTCTCTCAGTCTCTTCAGTAACCCCAAAGACTCCATACAGTCTTCAGGAGGTGGCTGTCAAGATCATAAACAGTGAAACCTGCCATCAGAAGTACCAGTTCCTCTTCTTGAAGGACCAGAAGGAGTTCATTGGGGAAGACATGCTGTGCGTCAGCTCAGAATGGGGCATGGACTCTTGTCAGGTGCGGGGTGTGTGGCCCAGGGCAGGGAGAGGGCTTTCAGGGGACATGTCTTCCTTTTCACAGGGCACTGTGTGACCTTATGAAAATCTCCTTTCCTTGGCCTTCAGTTTCCAAGTCTGTAAAATAGGGCAGAAAATATTCTTTGCACTTGTCCACAATAATGGTAATAATGGCAATGCATCTTAGGTCTTTTTTTTTTTAATTTTTTAAAAAAGATTTTATTTATTTATTTTTGAGAGAGAGCGCGAGTATGTGCATGCACAGGGGGTGGGGGAGGGGCAGAGGGAGAGACTCTCAAGCAGACTCCCTGCTGGGCATGGAGCCCAACGCAGGGCTCCATCCCATGACCCTGAGATCATGACCTGAGCCAAAATCAAAAGTCAGACGCTCAACAGATCTAGCCACCCAGGTACCCCAGTGTTCAGTTTTCTCATATCACAAACTGCTAGATAGTCTCACACACATCTCCCTATTTACACGTTCCAGAATTTCTCGACAGGATGTGTCTTGCAAGGAACTGGTGGGTCACAGGCTGTGCATACCTTCATCTTTAATAGTTACTGCCAAATTGTTTTCCGAAGTTCTGTGTGAATCCATATTCTTAGAGCAGTGTTTGAGAATTCTGTTCCAAATTGTTGCCAACATTTTTGGTACTGGCAGACTATAAAGTGTTTTCCATTCTGTTAGATGAGAAACAGAGCAATAGTATGGCATTGTGGTTACTGTGTTCATGTCCCCAGTTACTGAGCAGTTATGCATCTTTTCACATGCTCGTTCTCCATTCGTGATTCTTCTTCTGTGAATCACTTTTTCAGATATTTTGCACATTTTCTATTGTTTGCCTTTTTCTTTTTATTATATTTTTATATTTTGGATATTGGCTCTGTGTTCGTTGTATATATTGCAAATATCTTGTCCCAGCTTTTCATTATGTTTACGCTGTCCTTTGCTGAACAGCAGTTTAGGTTTTATTGCAGTCAAATGTAGATCCGTGTTTTCCTTTCTGGTTTACGCTTTTTGTGTCTTAGTTAAGAAATCCTTCCTTTTCCTGAGGTCATAAAGACGTTTTCCTGTATTTTTTTTCTTAAAAGTTTGGAAATTTTGTTTTCCACATTTAGGTCTGAAGTCCACATGCGTTCATTTTGTGAATGGTGTAAGATAGAGAGAGGACTATTTTTATTTACTTCCTCATGTGGACTTTCATTTGTCCCAATGGCATCCATTGCAAAAACCGTTTCCTAGATGTAAAATATGACATCATATACATAAAATGTGGAGGTGGTGGGGGTATAAAACTGTAGTGTTTAGAATATGTTCAAACTTAAGTGATGTTAACTTAAAATAGATTGTTATATATATATAGGATTTTTTTTTAAAGGTTTTATTTATTTGACAGGGAGACACAGCAAGGCAGGGAACACAAGCAGGGGGAGTGGGAGAGGGAGAAGCAGGCTTCCCACAGAGCAGGGAGCCCGATGCGGGGCTCGATCCCAGGACCCTGGGATCATGACCTGAGCCGAAGGCAGACACTTAACGACTGAGCCATCCA